CCCCCTCCCTCAGGAATGCAGCCAGCTCAAGTTCCCTAAAGAGACAGGCTGAGGGTGGGGTCCCCTGTGTGCTGGGCCCATCCTAATTGAATGGTCACAGCACAGAGATTTAAATCACAGTGTCACAGGGCAGAGATTTTTGGGGAGAGACCAAGGTGGCTTTCTGCCACAGCTCCTATCAGTCAGAAGGCACTAGCCCTTGTGACAGGAGAGCACACACAGCTCAGAACGGTCCAACAGGACAATAGCAGAGCCCCCCTGGACCCAGACAGGACAGGGACAGCAGGGGACCATGGTGTGGAGGGTACGGCAATCATTCATACTGGGAACTCAGGCTTTTGGGAGCTAGAAAACTGCCTGAGACTTGTTTCCACACCCGGTTTCCCTAGGCCCCTCCGTTCATCCTTCCCCCACTGTGGGCAAAGTGGGGACCAGCCCCCTCCAGGGCATGGGGTGGGAGGAGCAGGGCTGCCTGCCAAACATTTCCTTACCCAGGCTGGTGCAACATGCTGCACCCGGCAGTTGACTTCATGGGGTGGCAGGTCCCCAGTGCTCTTCTCAGCAGGAGGCGTGCAGACAGCCTTGATAGAGAGCTCTCTCCTTCCTCCCTCTCTGGCAGTGTCAACGTCAGGGGCAGCCCAGGAATATTCGCTAGAGCCTCGTCTGACTGTTACACTGAGAGGGCCAGGGCTGGACCTGGCTGCAGACGGCCTGCTATTCACCACAGTTGGTCCCTTGCCTGCAGCTAGTGCAGCGTCATAAAGCTCTGCTGGCTCCCCGTGGTACTTGCAGTGAGGGGCAGAGGCTCCCTCACAGCTAGAGTGAATGCAAAGCTGCTGGACTGGAGCAGCCCCTGTTTCTGCAGGAGGAGAAGTGACTCTCACACACACTTCCCTCGGGGTCCCATCTATGGCTACACCAATGTTCATCTGAGCCCTGCTGTGCTGTGTCTCCAGTGACACCTGCAGACCACCTGGGTATGGGCTGGGTGGCAGGTCCTTTCTCCGAGACACAGAGCAGGGGGGAGATCTGAACGAGGGTTCCTCAGGGAAGTGAGTGGTTGCATGGCCACATGCCTGTGACCTGTAGCCAAGGTAGGGAGAGCAGTCATAGGGACCGTCTGCTTCAGTATCAACCAGACCAACTGGGCCAGCCTCAGCAGAGAGGGGCCCTGACCAAATTCCTTCAGAGACGCTGGCTCTCTGGGTGTATAACTCTGTGGTTCTGTACCTGTGATAGATGGAGGTCGGCTTAGTCTCACTTGTTACTGAACCAAGACCCCAGCCCTTAGCAAATGGGCTGCCCCATTTCATCCTAGCCTGAGCAGCCCTGGTCTTTTCCCTGGCACAATACTCTTCTGCACCCTGGATGGCAGGTGGAGAGACATCAGGAGCAAAGCAGAACCTGCATGTGACGGGAGAAGACCTGGACTCCAAAGGCAGGGAGCCCAATATCCCCATTGCAGCAGTCTCTTGCTTAAGCTTTTGGATTGAACAGTGCAGGCTGGCAGAGGCCTGGGAAGACTCCAGGACAGACCGAAGGGCTGAAGGATGGGCAGGGGACTCAGCCAGACTGGGGGAACTCAGTTCCTCCAAGGTGAAGCTAGGCCCAGGGCAACGTGAGGCCACACTTGCACTGGAGCTCCCTCGGGAAGAGGCATACACCACTGGCCTGCAATTGAGAGTGGACCTGGCAGAGGGGTCTACAGACACTACAGCAGGGGACAGGCCATCTGCACTGGCTACAGATGGGTTTCCATGCCCTGCACTGCAAGCAATAAGAAGTCTGTGTTGCTGCTTTTCTGTCCACTGCTCCTGGCTCTGGTTCCTTCCTTCTTGAGAGCTCCAGCAAGTGCGGCGCCCACAGGACAGCTCACAGGAGCCAACCCCCTCCTGCAGACTCCTGGCTGGAAGGCCAGTGCTTGCATCCCTGCAGCTCCCCTCTAGACCAGTAGTACTCAAGCGGGAACATCTCTGTTGGGCATCCCTGCGACGTGATAGTGCTGCAGGGAGGCGGCGACTGCCCTGAATCACGTTTTCATTGCCACGCTGCTGCAGCCTGGAGCAGAGGTTGTGTTGCTGCTGGAAGCAGGAGTTGGAGAGCCGCTCGGTGGCATCCCAGAATGGCTGGGGAGGGCAAATAAGGTTGGTCTGCACCAAGCTTGGATCCCGCTTCCTGAGGCCTTGGATTTTCCCAGCTGCTGCAGTCACAAGGCTCGTTCTGCTACGTCCCACTCCCCAGCCAGGTGTGACAGAGACCACAGCAGCATCAGCCCAGTGATGGGGAACCTCAGCTCGATCCTCAGTGCCAGGATCCAGATGGATGTTCACGTTCTTTTGAACGTTTTTGTGCTCTGGAGAAAGACAAGCCATAGAAATATAGACACTTATAAGCAGCATAGATATTTGACCCATATATCCAAGTCTCGCCTGTGGCAGGGACCCCCTTACAGTGGGCTCCTCCTTCCAGTCTGCCAGACTCCCAGCACTGAAATATTGTGGGCATGACCAAGGTCTTGGCAAAGAGATGCTCCTATCTGGTAGGCCAGGGGGAGCTTCAAGGAAACGAAGGACCTCGTCTAGCATCATTCACATGCTCCAGCAGCCTCCCATTGTCACCGCCCTGGTTAAAACCAGCTCAGGGCACCTTAGCCAGAAGTCCTCGTTAGTGAACAGTGAAGCTCTCTGAGTTTTAAGGATGCTTAGGCTCAATAGCCATGAAGCAGGGATCTCCCTACCAAGAATCAGTTGAAACAATTTGAGCGGGGTGGCTTGAACTGGAGTGTTTCTGCTCACTCACCTCTGTCAGCAGGGCTTAAGTCTCTTCTACATATCAGTAGGGCTAGTGGGCTGGGGGACACAGCAGTGACTGAGGTGTTTACACTGCAGATCAGTCCTGTGGCACAGATGGACATGAACTGCATTGTAACCATGCCCCGCAATCAAGCTACAGCCCTGCAAAGAAATTTTAGGATGCAACACATAGAGAGAGCAGTTTAGTCCTGGCTGTGTTCTACATACGTGGAGGGACATCCTGCACAACGACGAAGCACCCAGGACCTTAATTAGCCATCTAGTCTCTGAGTCATCTATGTCCCAATCCCACCCCAGGATGGATGCTCCAAATCACACCTGACAGCCTATCATAGCTCTAGGCAGCTTCATGCTTTCATACCCCTGGTGTTTGCAAGCAAGTAAGCAATAAATCCCACTCTTCTATCAATGTTTTTTCCTCTCCATTCCCTCCTAATGCTTATCAGAATTTGGTGTCCCTGCTCTTCCATTTCTCTGACGGCTGGTTGCTTAAGATTGGAAATCACCCCTTTACAGCTACACAGGACTGCTAACATGGCAGGCCAGACAAAGCATCAGAAACAAGGAGGGGAAAATTGAAGAAACAGCTTGAAGTCAGCAGTTTGACTATTGGATTTTTTTTTTTTTTGAAGGCAGCGAACGTGAGCTGAAATATGATGTTGCAAAACGCACACAGAAGCCCTATTCAGCCTGCCTGGTGAATCAGAAATGGAACAGCCAACACCGACAGTGAAACAAATAGGGATTGTCTTGTTCACACCAAGAGCATTATTTATGACATCCAGAACAGCAAAAATCAATCAGCTTTAGCTCCAGCATCTCAGCTTCCAAACTAGGCATATCTCATTCTTTTTCCTCGGAAAAGAGGTCCAGCTTGCCCACCACTAAGATCAATTTTCTGCATGTTGGCTCTCTCTCATCGAGAATGGGCCCTGGTCTTCACATAGAAACTCTCCCATTAATCTGATCAAAGCTAAGAAGCAGACTTGATTATGGAAGTCCCAGATGACACTCATTTATGGCTCTGTAATGATCCTTGGAATGGCTGTTGCCACCTTTCATATGCTCTCAGACATATTGCCAGTGGGAAGATTTAATTTCCCCACCTTCCCCAATTAATTAGGAGCTGGCATCAAATGAGTGAACAGACTTCCTGGATTGGTGCTGCCTTCCCCACAGCGCTTGTTCTTGTATGAAGCAAGGTCACAAGGTGCAACATGATGGCTCTTTACAAAATAATTTTCTGCCTTAAGTATCAGCCAGGAGTAACAGTCCTGAACCTTGGTCCCTGAACCTCACGTCAACCCTCTGCTCGTAGGGTGGACAATCTAGGAGCAAATGTTCTCCCACATTCACACACAGGCTATTCCACTGACCTCTTGCTGCCAAGCATGCACACACAACTGGGATTTCATTTCAACAGTTCTTTCCGCCCAATTCCTGCCTAAGTGTCCAGTCCAGGAGAAAACAGTGGCCTTTTACACTCATGTTAGTTCACCCTTTCAGAAACATCACCAGGGATTTAACGTGGATCCATCTGAACACTTCTGAGCAAGCTGGAATAGCAATAAGGGACACAAGATTTGCAATTGTTCCTGTCCCGGTCTATCAGCAACCTCGGTCAAACCAGACTTAACTCTCTGACCAAAGGGATTCACAATATTTTCTTCTAATACCAGTGACAGCCAGGTGATTTTATTTTAAAGGACCAATGCGGCCACTCTGCATTTCACAGCCTTGGGCTACCGCAGGAACTCCTGAAGGTGAAAATGAGCAGAAAATAAAAGTGAAACGAAAGGTCTGTTCTCATTGTTTAAGGCTCCAGGGAAACAAACAGAACCATGAATGGAGGGGGCGGAGAAATAGGATTACTTCCAGTTAATTCAGGTTTAATACCAAGGTCACAACCAGCAACAAAGCAAAAGAAAACCATGCTAAATGACACAATCACCTACACAGGAGGTGAATTTATTTCCCCATCATCCAGAGGTTAAAGCTGCTCAATTGTTACCTTGCACAAGTGGGAAACCTGCAGCATAAACCAGTGACAGATCACCCAGCAGGTGGGTTGGGTGTAGGGGTTTCCTGTCTGCTCCATCTACTTGCTATGGTGCGTAGTCTCTGCACACGTGAAAGGGCCACATGCACACACCAGAGGCACACACTTCCCTGTCCTGTGGATACGAGTTGTCACACACTCTCCCCGTCCCTCACTCAGCAGGCGTGCAGCTTGCACACTCAGCCTACCAAGAGCCCTGGGGCCCTGGGGGGGGGGCCCATGCACAGCACTCGGATCTGTACCTGGTAGGGACCAGGAGGGAGCTCTGCCCCGGGGCTGTGGCTGGAGGAGCTAGGCTAAGCCGCTCGCAGCTGGAAGTCAGGCTGGCTGTGCATATCCCAGGCCCTCCTGGCTGCAGGGGCCACCATAGTCGCACTCTCCTCCTGCACTAAGCCACTTCTCGTGCCGGATACTACTCACCCCGAGAGCCACCGCAGGACATGCCTCTCCTCTGGCCAATGCCGTGGGACAGGCACAAATGCCTCTTTGTGTCCGTTTCCCTGGACTCAGCACAGACCTGCAGCTTTGTCCCCTTAATGCCCCGAATCCGGCAGCCTGGGTGCCCCAGCTGAGTCGCTCTAAGAGGCTTATCTCCCCCGCTCAGTGGAGCCGGCATCTCATTAGGGCTGCAGATGTCCACAGCACAGGGCCTCCGACCCAACGCAGCCACCTCGGCATGGCCTGGCAAGGGGCCCCCGAGGCCATGCCGCGTGGGGCACCCACAAAGCATGGCGAGGAGCCACATAGCCCCTGGCCCAGGGCGGCCTACCTGTGCTCAGCGCCCCGCTCCACACCGGGGGGACGTTCTCCTTCCTCATGCCCGCGGCACAGGGCAGGGAGGGCACCGTGCCCTCGTGCCAGCCTCACAGCAACGCCGTCCCGCGAGGGACCCGGGGCTCGGGGCAGTGTGCCCACCCCTGGGGGGCACCTGCCCAGGCTGGGGTGGAGGGGGTGGGCTGGGATGGAGGAGGGGGATGCTCAGCTGTGTCCCTCCATCTATCATGGGAGCTGTGTCCGTCTGTCCTGGGCCTAGTGGGGGGGGCGGAGCTCCCGCCCGACCGTTAGCGCTGGACATCCCTGCCCGGCGGGGCGGAGCCAGGGGCGGGCGCGGCTGCTCGGCGGGCGGG